TTCCCTGTTATACTTTAGGATGGGGCTGAAAATATTTTGGGACAGTTAAAATAGTTTTAATTGCGATATTGAATTTTACTGTAAATAGGCATTTGTATGCTACCTTAAGCCAGAAGATAGGTTGTCAGCATGTAAAGGAATGAATGAATGAATGAATGAATGAATGAATGAATGAATACAGAGCAAACTCAGCTCTGAGTGCAAGTAAACTAATTACCTATTGGCATCAATAAGAAATAAGTAATATACATGTGTGTTTCAGACTATACATATCCAATCCCAATAGAAGAATAACTCAGCAAGTTATTAAGGAAGTTGTTGAGATAGTTGCAGCAAGTCAATTACTGAGTATCCTAGATGAAGCAGATCATTTGAATCCTCTTCAGTCCAAAAATGGTGACGTGGCAGGTAATAGATCTTACGGCAAACATGATTCTGACTTAAATGTGAAATTCTCATCAATCACTTTTAGCTCTAAAGATCTATTACTCTGGATGTAAAAGAAGTCCAGTGGTGGGATTCAACATTTTTTACTACTGGCTCTGTGGGCATGACTTGGTGGGCATGGTATGGCTTGGTGGGCATGGCAGGGGAAGGATACTGTAAAATCTCCATTCCCTCCCTACTCCTGGAGGAAGGTTACTGCAAAATCCCATTCCCTCCCTACCCCACTAACCTGCTTTCCAGCTCCGTTCTCCTTTACAAGGCAACAAAAGAAGACCCAGCCAATCAGCTGGGACTTGGGAGGCAGAGAATAGATGGGGGCAGGGCCAGTCAAAGTTATGGATTTGGGAGTGGGGTCCTAAATAAATAGCACTTGGCCTCTAACCATCTTTTGAGGAAGTATCCTACTATAAAGTACCCTAGATAAAGCAGATTGCCCTCTCCAGTCATTTTCTTTTTTTAAAAAATATAGTTTATTAATTTTACAATTAAAACCAACCGACAATACATACACAAATAAGCTGAAAAAAGCTTATATGTTAGCTTTTATAGCACTATATTATGTTAGCTGGGAATGTTGGTATAATTGGATTGACCAAAGATAAATTATATTTTATAAGGCATAAGAGAAAAATATTAACCTACAACCATGAGGCAGCGATATAAGCAAAGAACAGGTGTGTGAACATGACACAAATTAAGGTTATGGAAAAAAAGACCTTGCAAACTGTAAAAAATAAGAATGCTTTTAACTTTCTTCTTTTCCTTTTTTTTTCTTTCTCTTCTTGTTCTTTTTCTCTCTATTTCCCTTTCTCTCTCTTCTCTAAATTTTTCTTTTTTTGCTTTCCTTTCCCCCTTTCCTTTTTTCAGCTTATTTGTGTATGTATTGTCATTTTCAAGTTTGGTTATGGGACAGAGACAGCATGGATTTCACACATAATCCATTGTAAATTATACTAAATCATAAAGACAAGCCAATTCTATTATTCTAATCCAGACTTCCAGGGGAAAAGCATTAACATTCTCCAAGGCTACCCAGGTAAAAATGTAGCCCTACTTGCCTTTTCAACCTCCCCACCCCACTTTGCTCCTAGGATTTTTTAAAGTTTGAAACAGGGTTGGAAACAGGGCTTGGGCTGGATCTCATTTTTATTCTCTCCAGAATTGCAACGTTCAACTCACAAAAATAGAGAGACAGATTTATGCCTAGAGATTTCAGACTGAAAAATAGGATACTTGACCCATCACCAGGACACTGATGCCTCGCCATTTTTCAATCTGGAATCTGAGTGACAGGAATGATAACTAAGAGTTTCATTCTAGGAGCTGCTTTTATCTTTCAGATCCTGCTGTTCCATAGCAGATCAGATGTAGAGTGAGCACATTTTAAATTGCAGTAGAATCTTTATTTCATTTGGTTGTGAGTTCTCAGTGAGTCTTGTAATGGGTCTCGTGATCAGGTCAGAGTTGTTGGGAGGTGAACTGCTGGAGGGGGAGGAATTGCATGGGTTGATTGAGGGTCGATGCTCTCTCTGGTTGACTGTGTGGCTGATTTGGATTCTGAGGGGTTCCTAGGCTGGTTGTAGGTCAATGTGTCTGTTGATGGAATTGTTTGTGGAGTGCCAGGCTTCGATGCACTCACAAGCATGGCGGCTGTAGTATGACCAATGATTTTTGTGTGTTGCTCCAATCAAACTGGTGCTGTTTGGTATCGGTGTGGGTAGAGATTAAAGATTTGGAATTGTTGGATTTGACTGCCGGATGGTGTTTGTGGATCCTGGTTTTTAACTGACATGATGTTTATCCCATGTAGAATTGGTTACACTGGTTACAGTTGACCCATCAAGACCCATCACAAGACTCACTGATGACTCACAGCTGATCCATCACAAGTCCTGTCACAAGACCCTCACTTGACACACCCACACCTGGAGCCGTTATAAATAGAGGAAATTTGACACTGACATTCACTGAAGATGTTACCTAGCCTGGTAACGCAACATTTGGAAACCAACCCACAAGCTTGGAGAACAAATCTCCACCCTCATCCTACACCCGAGCTACAGATATTTGCCACTATTACAAGTAAAGATTTCCCCCTTGGTTCTCATCTTTTCCATGATGTTTATTCTTTCCCTGAAAAAACTAAGAAGACAGGTGAGTTCTTAAATTTCAGGCAAAACTTTTAAAATTGGCAATGCCATTTGGAATTTCAGAAGCCCTGTTCACGATTGTGGTCAATAATAGTAACATCACTCCTACTTCTTAGTGCATTTTTTAAATGGCAAAGTACATAAGTAAGTCCTACTTTGGTGGGAACATAGCAGCATTCCATGTGCCTTGGTGTATAGTCACGGCAGTACAGTATCTATGTTTATGCAGTTACACATAAGCATCTACCCTCAATCCCATCATTCTCAATCCTCAGGCTACTATCAAACAAATAACATTTGATATAAGAGCAAAAATAACTAAATGCAAGATAACAGTTCATTGAAAAATACATACCTTCTGTAAGAATGGTTGGGGCATCTAACAAAATGAGCCTTTGGGCCACTCCAACAATGTTTGGCAGTAAGAGTTCTTGAAGTTCACCAAGGTTACGTGTATCCAGGGCAGTAAATACGAAGCTTGCATCAGTAGCAATTTGCTGAAGCTCTGCATTGTCAGCATTTTGGACCCCAATGCAAAATGAGAATATACTAGCTTGCTTCATGGCTAAAACTCCTTCTCTTATGTCATCACTAGACTCAACGTTACTTATGAGCACTAAGATCTGTGGCACACCTTCCTCTATTCTGCTGCCTCCTGAGGGGGTGAAGTGGTTTTGCATGACAAAATCAAGAGCATCTCCAATATTAGCTTCCTCGCCACCAAGAATGCTAAGGGCCTTCACTGCCTCTAGAATATCAACTTTTTGGGTATAGCTGTTCAAGGAGAATCCAGTTCTGGGTTCATCACTAAACATAACCACCCCAATGCGTATGAGCTCAGCTCCAACTGAGAGTCTTTCAATTAAATTTGCAATGAAATCACGAATGGCTGAGAAAGTGACAGCGCCGTTCTTTGATCCGTCAATAAGGAAAATAATGTCAGCAGATTCTTGTGCTTGAAAAAAAGAGAAATGCAACAGGTGAAAGCATTAAACCAAGTGAATCCATGCAAGTTGAATAGTGTTCTGACATGTTTCTTTGAAAAACAGCAAGAAACACGATTATGGAGGGGGAAAAACATGTGGTGATCAAAGTCAACGAAACTTTCCTGCCAGTTCTGCATTCTGATTGAATATGAATGATCAGTCTTTGGGAAAATTGCCACAAGGACAGTTTTTGTATTATATATTCTTGCAGATTACTATATTTTGCAATCACAGATGGGCCACTCTCACATTAAAATAAAATGAGGCTCTAAAACAACTTCATCATCAAAGAAATGTGAGCTTTGTACATGAGGGAGAAGCTTTTTTCTATATACAATGCCTTCTTATGCTCCAGGATTTACTTCCTACACCCATAAGATGTGGCAAAATATAAGTAGAAAATGTTTCCATTTTGAGATTTAACATGGATCAGAAATAAGAAACAGTTTAATTGGGAATTCTCTATATATTTACTTCAAAGGGTCTTAAATTAGAGAAAAATACATGGAATTGCATGGCAAAAGAGGCAATCAAGCATTTGTTTTCAAAATACAAATTTGAGTCAAGTAGCTAATGATAATAAATGCAATGGAATAATAATAAAATTATAGGAGTTAAGCAAAATATTTTTAAAGCTCAGAAAAGATTTTAAAGGCCTGTGTTAAAAATGCAACACAATAAATAAAGGATTTTTGGGGAACTGGGAAACATACTTATAAAATGTGTGTTTCAATTTATTAAAGAATTAAATAAATACTTCATTCAAAAGCTGAATGTTTGTATGTGAGTGTATACTTCTGTATCTAAGGATTATTAGATCATTAGATTATATTTATCTCCATATTTTTTAATTATAAGCTACATAAAACCAAAGTGTAAAAGAAAAGAAAGTAAGCATATATAAGTATCCTTGAATTTATGGGAATATAATGTTAACATTACTACAAAAATGTACTTCTGATTTAATTGTTCACATATTACCACTGGATATTCAATCAAGTAATGCAGAATCGTGTTAAAGCGGTAAATCCAATCATAACAATTATCCAACCACATATGTTATGCCTGTTTCTGGATCCACAATAGTGACCCTAATAATTGCATGGAGAATGTATTTTTCAACTGAGAAGATGGATTGTTGACATTATTATGATCATGTAGAATATATTTTCAAGCCTCTCATAGTTGAGTAGAATTTTTAGAGTTATATCCAATCACTCTATAATATTTCTGCTTGCTGGTGAAATAAATATAGATAGTGCTGAATTTGTTTCTTCCTCCGCCTGCACAAGTCTCTGCACCCATCGCTCAGAAAGAACAATGAAAAACCTAGTTGTGTTTATGGAAGGAGATACATGGAACAGTTCACATATTCTAGTAGCCTAAACTTTCTCTTTTACCATCATCTAATCCTGGGTTAACTACTCTCAGACATTTCAATCAAAAGAATATATTATATATAATATTATATACATATATAATTGTGTGTGCGTATGTGTGTGTGTGTGTGTGTGTGTGTGTATAAATTTAAGCTTTGTTCAGAATTTCCTGTTTATTATTTTAGTAATCAGATTCTTAGCCATATGGCTATAATCAGTACTAGTACTACATTCCTAAAATTAGGACTTATGAAGTTATGTTCCTTCTTTCTGGCAACTTTTGGGACAGCTTGTTATATAAGCTAACTTTAAAATATACCTCGTAAGAGCCAGTTTGAATATACAATGACTCTCATTCCTTCTAAGCATATTATCTGGTAAAGGTATAGCTCAAAGAGCAGGCACATCTCCTTATCCCTTTTTGACTACTGTTTGTGATGAAGATTTCTTGGAAACTCAGAAAGTTTGAAAAAAAATCTAATTGGATTAACTTTAAAATTGTTTAGATTTTTTTTTTAAATGTATAACTTTCTGATAAATACTGCAAATTGCAAAGAAACAGGAAGACAGTATGTGTAATAGTTGGATAATTAGTCACTGTTGAAGAAGCTTTATACAAACGAATACAATGAAGAGTTGAAGTATGGGTGAAAAGCAGATTAAAGCATGCTTTCCAGAGTTTCAGAACAGCAAAGAACCGATGGCTTGAAAAGGAAGCAGTAACTAAGGTAGTGTGTAATATATACCAAGGCACTTTCAATTTTGAAGTTTCCAATTACACAGAGCATATTGTTGAAGAGTAAACACTTGCAGTTGCTAGAATAGTGAACATCTCTTCCACTGTGCATTTGAAAATGGTTGCTTGTAGTATTCAATATGGGGGCATTGTTAAATTCATAAGGGTGTCATTTGAACTCATGCAAAGAAGATTAATTAATTAGACAACCTGTTAAATTTTTGAAACATCTAATTATTGTTAGAGAAAAATACTTTTTCACTTTATTGTTGGATACAAGTAACCAGCATCATATCTGAACGCATGTAAAAAGAAACATCCATTTTTAGAACAAAAATAACTTTCAGTTATTATATTTTTACCCAATACAAAATTATCACCTTAAGCATTGATACCAGGCTCTGCCTGCAGAGTAGTATGCGTGCTTATGAACTCTTGATAAGTTATTGCCTCAAGGTTCAAGAGTCTTCTGTTAATAAAGGCTAACTAGGAAGTCCTGTTCAGCATCTCATGAAGCTCCCAGAACCCTAATTCATTGAGGGGAGAGACCAACTGCCAGATAGCAGAGTCCCAGAGGGATGAAAGTAGCTATCAGGAAAGTAATTGCAGGAAAGGGAAGTTTCCATTCATGCAATAATAACTCTTTCCCATCTTGGCCCCCATAATTCTCTAAGGATATTCAAAATAATGCATCTTCTATTTACCTCATCTTTTTTGCAATGTGATTTTTTTTAAAACATTGAAATCTAGTTCAATGGATAATCTTCCCTGGAGGTACAGATTTCTCGGATAGACTTTTTTAAAAAGTTATACTTAAATATAGATAGCGTGATGGGCAGAATATAAATCTAATAAATAAATAAAATGATAAAATTAAATCGCATAGCAGAGAGGAGTACTTCCTCTAGGACTCTCATTATTTGCTCTATTCATGAAAACATTTGGCTGCAAATCATGCAGAACCATGATTGAGCCGAAGTGAATAAAGTTAATAAAACAAGGCAAATATTATAAAGCTTTGGGGGCTATTGGGATTTTTTTTTGCAACATAATTCCTTTCATGCATTTTAAGGTATAAAAACAAAGGTCTAAGATTGCAGGATTGCAGAATAATCATTGATACATTTAAATCAATAAGATTTGCTGCTCTATTTCATCATTTTTACTAATTAAATAAAATAAAGTTTTATTCCAGTCAAATTATTTCCTCCCCACTTCTTCTGCTTAATGTAGAGGCGGGATTTACAGGAGATTTCCACTTTAATTCTGTTATCCAGATGGGAGGCAATGACTTCTGGTGCCCTTTCTTCTCTTTGTCCATTTGTATGTCCAGGAGGACAGAGATAATTAGAAAGCTGGAGAGAAGCACAGCCTGAGGAGACTGGCAGGGAAATTACTGTAATGGCAGAAAACCATTATATTGTTGGGGGCGGGTATGACTTTGTTTTGAACCCTTTGAATGTGCATTTTAGGGCTTTTCCAGGCAAACTCTTACAGCTAAGGAGAGGCTAAACATCTCACAATTAATAAATTGTGAAACGTTGTAGGGAAAAGGGGCTTCTCTTTTAGCTACCAGTAACATTAGTCAGATAAACACAGATGTCTTACTCTTTGTATCGTCTATGTCATTTTGTAAAATCTTAAAATACTGTGTATTGTAAGTGCTATAATTGTAGAATTTTATTTGTCTGAATATTACACACTCCCTGGCTGGAGCATTCAAGCATCCAAGCATGGACTAACTCATGCAGTAAACCTGACAGTAATGAAAATATTTGCAACAATATTCTGTTCAGCATCTTTTCCTCTTATCATTTTGCTTGCATTCCTTCTCTACACTGCATGCTATTTTAGTATTAGCCACCCATCATACAAACAGAAAATGTTAATATAGCACTAGAAGTAAAGTTAATTATTGTTACCTTGAAATGCCCTTGAGCTATGTATTAAAATGCTTAAAATGATGGAAAAGTAGCAAATAATTCCCTCAGACACAAATATTGCAACGGCAGAGCAGATTGTTTTACCTGTGATGTCTTTAATCCCTCCTTCTACTCCAGCCATTTCTGGAGTCATGGATGAGCGAATGCTGGCAACTAAGTCTCCTATAATGCCGTGGAGAGCAGTAAAGTTCTCTAGGTTGAATAGGTGTGTATCAAGGGGGTCGCTTGCTATTTCCTTTAATTCCCATTCCACTGCATCCTGCACTCCAATGGCAAACATGTTTACCTCAGCAGTTTTAAGTATAGATGATGGTAGAGCCACATCATCTTGGGATCGTCCGTCCGTTAACACTATAATAATCTGTGGAATACCATTGCTTGCTCTGCTTCCAGCAGCTTTAGTTAGATGGTTCCGAATTAGGAACTCTAATCCTTGTCCAGTCTTGGTTCCTCCCCCCATGTAAGGCATGTGTGAAATATGGAAGAGGACATCTTGCAAAGTATGATAGGTGTTTAACTGGAACTCTGAATGTGGGCTTCCGCTGAACTGGACCAGACCAAACCGAAAATCATTTTCACCCACATCTAATTGTTTTACAACATCATACAAAAACTCCCGAACAAGTTGGAAATGTTCGTTTCCAATGCTCCAAGAGGAATCCACTAGAAATATTATATCAGCAGCAGCACCGATTTTGACATCTTTAAAAAAACACATTGATTTATGATTTTCCAGAGGTCATGGTGGGGAGGAAAATCTTGCACTACATTAATAGCCAGGGTCTTCTTTTATATCACCAACAACACTGAGTTCATTTACACTGGGGCAGATGGAAACTATTCAAATCCTGGAAATTATTCTTGTTTAACAAACATTGAGTGATATGGCCATTTTAGACTTCTAAAGCAGCTTGCAGGAATGCATTTTTCTTGCTAAATTATGCTAGAAAGGTTTCCACTGCAATAGTTTCTGCTTATGGTACGATTTTAGTGTGATTTCCTTGCCTAGGTAAGAAAAACAAGTGCGCTCTTTATATACTTGGTTTCTTCTTCTACAGGGATTTCACAAATTATGGAGTATATTAAAAAATATATTGACTCAGTAGTTCATTGAGGAATACTGAGACTAATCCAGGAGACAAGCGGTATTGAAAGGGGGTAAATCTGGACAGCACTTAATAAGGCCATCTGAAGTTCCATACATGAGTTTCCATTGAGCAGGATCACCCACTTCTTAAATGAATGGCAGGAGATTTTCTGCTTCTCTTCCATCTCTTTCTCTCTCTCTCTCTCTCCCCTAGTTCACATATCCTGTAAAATAGCGGTTCCCCACTTTTATGGCTTGGCAGCCTGGCTGGGGGAGAGAGGAACCAGCCCAGGCATTCACATGCACATGTGCAAGCTGGCCCACTGCTTGCACAAGTTGAGCAGCACACACGTGTTTGTGTGTGCTGGCTCATCATTCATGCAGCCCTGTTACAAACGGGCCACATCCTGGTAGCAGGCCGCAGCCTGGGAGTTGGGAACCCCTGCTATAAAGTCATTAGTTTTGGTTTAGTGCATGCAACTAACCAATGTGGGTTATAAACCATAGTTTATGGCTTAGCATTTTATGAGAACTCAGTTGCTTTAGCATAATCAGTAATTGATTTTCACCATGATACTCAGCAGTCCAATTCCTTTTTGGAGAAAAGTCCCTCCCTCTGTTCCCTGGAATTTGTGTTTTAATTGCTATCCAGCAAGTCAGTGAAACAAAGAAGAAAGAAATGAAGGCACATATTTCCTTCTCTACCCCATACTAAAAGATACTAAAAGGGAAATGCTAAAAGGCAGATACTAAAAAGGGAAAAGTGGAGGTCTGGTGCGGGGGTGGGGGGGAGAGAGTTGCAAATGGAGAGCATTCAGGGGCAGCTGAAAGGAAAAGGCTTTTTGTGGGAATTTTCAGATTTATGTTAAAAAGGTTGTTCTGAAATAAGTTGTTACAGCACTAGTTCCACATTTTCTTACTCTGGTTCATATTAAATATCTTCGTATAGTACCAATATTATAAGAACGTGATGCTGTCTTTGTTCATCAGACAGAAGAAAAGTCAATTTTCAAAATTAATTGAAAATTGTACCAATGCACAATATTTCCCAAATATTTTGTAATATTATTTAATTCTTTACTGCAAGAAAGAAGAATCGAGCATAAAATCAATCATCTGTATCACTGGAAAAAGAACATTTATCTCTTTAGAAATGTAACATATGAAAGTTGGCTCCCTTTCACAAAAATATCTCCATTTTTCGTATGCTGTGTCTATACCATAAATGACAGTTATCTATTCCAGGAGACTCATTTTATAAAGACGAAAAAGGTAGATATAGCAGAGGCAACTGCTTGTTCACCAAGGCAGGCATGCAAGAGATGTGATACATATATTAAATATGTCTATGTACGCATGGCAAAGATTCAAGGATAGACATTGGCAATCGGTACTACAGCAATATACAATAGCAATATATTTTTCCCTTCAAAATTTCCAAGGAAAACTTGGGATAAATTTCATTTTTCAATACTGAATCATTCAAAGATAGAAGACACTTACTTTCTTTAACCTGTGCATCAGCCTCATGATTGCCTAAGAGTAAAAGACAACAGATTGTTGCAAAAATCAAATGGCGATACTTCCTCATTGTGTTTGGTTATGAGTTGTTAGCTTTTCAAAGCATCAGTTTTAGATCTGAAAAGAAATGGAAATATTGTCAGTTAAATGTTCCTGAAACCAAAAATATATCAGGAGTGGGATTCTACCAGTTTGCACTTGTTCGCTAGAACCAGTTAACATTCTAAGCAGTTCAGAGAACCGGTTGTTAGAAGAAATTACTGGCCTAATCCTGTAAGGAAGGCAGGAAGGAAACATTCTGGTGTTGCTTACAGAAACTGCCTCTCCTTTGACCCTTATTACATTCTTGGCAGGACTAGACTTCCTGTCTCAGAAACTTCTCTGGAGTTTTCCCCCCTCCTTTCCTGGTACTTTGCTTATGTGGAGTGATCATCCAAAGTTACAATGGCACTGAAAAAAGTGACTTATGACCATTTTTCACACTTATGACTGTTGCAGCATCCCCACAGTCATGAGAGGCCAGGCGAGGAGATGCGTGCCTCAATGTGAGTGATATTGAGTTGGCCACACCCAGCCAATAACATGACCACCAAGCCATGCCCACCAACTAAGCCACACCCACAGAACCAGTTGTTAAAAAATTTGAATCCCACCCATGAAATATATCATCATCATAATACTGACTTTGTTTTTGTCTTTATGTAGCAAAATGGTGTAATTTCTTCATTATAAAATATCTCACTGATGTTCATAAGAAGACTTTTTTCTTACCTTTTCTGATACCAGTTAATGCTAGCTGAGAAACAATTTACTGCAGTGTTTTACTGACATTCAGGTATCTTCCAATGAAACCAATTACCAAATTTGGACCAAGCAGCATCTCCTATTCTTTCCCTCACCTCTCCCAAAATAATTCTGACTTTGGACTTGGCTAAGTGAGACACACCTTTGAAAAAGTTCCCAATGTTGTAACCTCAATGCCATGCAAGTTCAACTAGTGGCTTAGAATATTCAATTCAAAGTTTTCTGCTTAGAATCAAGGAAGCATTTGGCCACCTGCATTCTGTATCCAGTATTTCGTGAGCTTCCTCTCCCTCAAATGCATATACAGGAAATCCTTGTTTACTGACCGTTACTTCAGTGACCATATTTAGGACAGTGCCAAAAAAAAAGGAGATTTACAAGCAATCCTCAAACTTGCAGTCACTGCAGTATCTCTGCAATCACCTAATTGTGAATTGAGCACTTGGCAACTGGTGCTCATTTACAATAGTCATAGTATCCCACAGTTATGTGATCACCATTTATGACCATCACCAAATCAATGGGGAAGCCAGCTCAAAGTCACAAGTCACCGTTGCAAAATGTCATGCTTAACAACTGTGGGTGATTCACTTAATGACTGCAACTAGAACTTATGTCATAAGTTGGTATGGTCACATGACATTTCACTTTGCCACTGTGGCCTTAGCAACAGAGTTGCTTATCCCAATTATGGTTGGAACACGAGGACTACTTGCAAATGGAATTATCTCTTTACAATTAACTGAGAGTTTTATCATTTCAATTCAGTTTACTTCATTTCAAATTCTGAGCTTATTAATGAAATTCTGCCCCAGGTTTGTAAGAAAAATAAACTGTCAAAGATACACCAATTAGCAATAAAGAGTTCCAGTTCGTGACACAGTCAGAAACTGAGTATCATCTGAGAAGTTAATTGATACAAAGTATATGATCATAATCAGGGCTAAAATCCCATTGATGATTTCTTTTAGAAAACATTTGAAAGTTCTTTTGTTGGGAACAGAAATAAAACAAGCTGCTAAATCCTGACCATGAGACTGACCATGATTCGATAAATAGGAAGGTTTAGGCCTTCTGTATACTTAAGTTACAAGCATGAACATTAGATTCAGTTCAAATAGGAGATATTGAATATGATGGTCAATTTGAATCCAGATGTGCTACTTCTTCACCACCTTGGAAACAGAGTTACATTGAGCTCAAGAGGAAATTGTTATCCTGGCAAAACAGAATATGCAAAAATGCATATTTCTCTGTCAGGGCATATAGAATTTTGCTGTTGGAAAACTATTTTCATATGTGGATGGATGGATGAGGATTATGATGAAGAAACTGATGAAGAAGCTTGGGATTCATGTGAATACCAAGAAATAGGGTTAGAGGTTAAACTGAATGTTTGAAGAACACTCCTTCTACAATACAAAAGTAAGGCTGTCTTTTCCAGCACTATGGGAATTTTTTCTGCCTAAACCCACTGTATTTGAGGCAAGCCAGCCAACTATTTCATGTGCAGCTCTTCCTATGCTTACATACGTGCATAAATATCTGAAAGGATCTGTAATCTAAGCAAACACATTGTTTCTTTAATTATACAAATATGGCAAGGACAGCCGTTTTCTCCTTTGAAGGAGAATGCACATGCAATTCAAGGAAAGCCATTTCCTCCAAAGAACAGCGCTCAGAGTAGAGGAAGTTCAGATGTTCTAATATCAAGTTCCAAGAATGTAGCAGAAAAATATATTTCACAAACACACGCACTGCTGCAGTGCCAATAAGCTCAGATGTGCAAAGTGATGAAAGTAGCGTTTCATAGGGAAAGAACGCTCTAAGACTGCTCAGGGCCTCTGGTGGGGGTTGAACCCAGCAGAAAGCTTACATGGAATTGCTGTTTGAGCCAGCTGCCTCAGCTTTTGCAGGACTCTCTGCAAATAGCGAGAGGGACAGACTGGGTTGAACTGAATTCAAGCAGAAGCAAATCCCTCTGTTAATTCTTAGAGTAAAGGAAGCTCAAGGGCTGCTTTTATTCTCCCCTTCCTCATTTCAGATAGTCTCTACATGCAGAGAACAAGTTCCTTTCCTGTCCTATCCAATTACCTTTTTTCCTTCCTCTTCCCTTATTATATTCCCCATGCCAGGAGTCTGTTGTCTCTTCTCTTCTAATAATAATACAGATACTGATACTAATTATATTACATTATCTTCTATTTAGTGTTCTCTTTTCCAGGACAAATAGGGTCTTATTGTGTCACCAGATTGTCTGGATTTAAACCAGACGAGATGAAATTGAAATCAGAGAGAAAGACTAACTTCTGCTGCTGAAAGACCAACTTCAAGTCTCTTCTTTTCCTGAACTATATTGACTAGCAATTACAGGATGACTGTTTTATTTTGGGAACTAGTGCGATCTCCTCTCCTCTTTCTCTTTTCCCCTGTCCATTTTGTGTCATGACTTTTAGAATGCAAGTTCATAGAGAAGGACTGATTTTTAAAGTAAATCACTCAGAAGACCATTTTAACTGAAGAGCATGATAATAGCATTTTCAATCTATCAATAATCTATGACAAATTCATGCTCTCTACACAAGCTAAGTAATTGGATACTTGGGATATATGAATGACATTGCGGAAAGAGGGGAAGAGATGCTGCCTAGGAAACAATCAGACAAGACTGGCAGGAGTGGCTTAAAAGTCAGAGAAAGAAACTTAAGGGATCAAGCAGTTTAAAAAGGCAGCAGGAAGTCTTGCAAGATTCTGTTAATGTAGCCTTACAATAAAGTAACTTTAGTTTATCTAGTCATGTTTCCTGCCTGATTTACCTGGGTAGTTAGAATTTGATACCAAATTCAGGTATTCTAAAGTTTGAACAAAACATATTGTGGATATTTTAACATGACTGGCTTCTTTTTTATATGGAAAAAAACCAAAATCCAAGCCTTACAGCCGTGATGGCGAACCTATGACACGCGTTCTAGAAGTGGCACACAGAGTTACTTGTGCCAGTATGAGAGAGGTCGCCCGGAAGAGCCCCACTGCGCATGCGCTCCCCACTAGCCAGCTGGTTGTCGGGTATCTGCCGTGTATGTGTGGGGGAGACATGCATGTGGGAGGCACATGTGCATGCGCAGAGGTGTGCAGTGCTGGGGGGGGGTCACACACAAGGGTGGGATTCCACCAGTTTGCACCTATTAGTTACAACTGGTTAACATTCTAAGCAGTTCGGAGAACCGGTTGTTAGAAGAAATTACTGGCCTAATCCTGTAAGGAAGGCAGGAAGGAAACATTCTGGTGTTGCTTACAGAAACTGCCTCTCCCTTAACCCTTATTACATTCTTGGCAGGACTAGACTTCCTGTCTCAGGAACTTCTCTGGAGTTTTTTTCCCCTCCTTTGCTGATACTTTGCTTGTGTGGAGTGACCATTCAAAGTTACAATGGCACTGAAAAAAGTGACTTATGACCATTTTTCACATTTACGACTGTTGCAGCATCTCCACAATCATGAGAGGCCAGGCAAGGACATGTGTGCCTCGATGTGAGTGATGTTGAGTAGGCCACACCTAGCCAGTCACATGATCACCAACTAAGCCACGGCCACCAACTAAGCCACGCCCACAGAACTGGTTGTTAAAAATTTTGAATCCAACCCCTGATCATGCATTTATGTGCAAGGCACGTAGTGTGCATGCAGGGGGGGTGCACATGCATGCACAGGGAGTGGGGGGAGTTGCGTGCGCATTGCATCATGGGTGCAGGCATGCAACCACACTTTTGGTACGCAACATGGAGAAGGTTAGCCATCACTGCCATAGAGTCTTGGAGTGTGCATTAGCCAATCAGCAATAGTCAGATTTTCATCTCTGCTGCCATTTGATTGCAGTTTTTTTCCAAGAAGAAAAGGGGGAGGGAAAGAAATTAAACACACTTTCAAGAACTGTTTAAGATGTTTTAATAAAATCCTCTGCTGGGATCGCAAATTAACTTTTAAATATTTTGCTATGGGCAATAAATTAATATGCTATAATCAATGTTGTCTTTGCCTGTTCTACATATGTTATAATAAATCAAATTCTGCCAGAAAGTTTTCTGGAAGTGAATGTGAGCATTGTGTTTCAATCAATTTGTGCAATGGGGTGAATGTTCTCATCAGACTAAGCTCTCTGCCCATTAACTTTCCCAATCAAGTATGTACAAATAGCATATCTAGAAAGATATACTGGAGAATTGGTTGCAAAGAGCAGTAATTGTAATTTAAAAGAGAGCTTAGTTTA